AGAACAAACCTGACGTTGAGGTTCATATTTATGAAACGAATAGAAGACAGCTGGAGGAAAGGAAAAAAGAGATTTTTAATGCAAATATTGATATTCTTGCGACATGCAATTTCAGTGAGCTTATTAATTTGAAAAAATCAATTATCATAAAAACAAAAGATGTATGCAATTTTATTTTGTATAAATACCCAGTGATATTCCACTTATACTCGTATAAATTGTTTCACGAAAATGTGAACATAAGATTATTATCAGCAGAATCGCTAGCAAATTTGTCATCTAATAATAATGACTATTTTATAAAAATCATACTTCCGTTTTTAGTGAAAAAAAGCTATGAAGAAAATGTAATTGTAAAGCATGGTTCCATTATATGTATATCTAAAATACTTTTGAAGCTAAAAAAAAGGATTGATGAAAACTTACAAAATGATATAAAAAAGATAATAACTTTTAGTGAAAAAAAGAAAATATATAGATTTAAAAAGGGAGAAATTTTAAGACATTCATTATGTCTACTGATACAAAGTGTATGTCAATGTGACTACTTCTTGGTGAAGCAAAATACGCATTCTTTCTTTTTAGAAATTTTACAAAATAATTTATTTCATTATAATGAAATTATACAATATGAAGCCTCCAAAATATTTTTCTATATGCCTATATATATATTAAGTAAAGATAAGGCTATTCAATATATATACAATAACGTACTTTTAAAAATTATAAGGGAGAAAGATAATTTTCTCCATCTTAAGGGATATTTCATTCTTCTCACATTTGTGAATGAAGACGTCATTCCATACGTTGCGGAAAATTTGATAAAACTTTTTTATTATGCTTTAAGGAAAAATTCTACATATAATAAAATAAAAAATATCCTACTCATGAATACACATAAAGCAACTACCATTATAACTCCTACCTACCCTGCTGAGGAAGGAGATACGAAATCTAATAGCCCAATACAAAATGATCCTTATTTTTTTAAAAAAGTTGACTTTTCTCTTTTTTCTATTGATTTTAACATGAAGATATTTTGCCTTCTTGCATTATTTAATGTGGTTGACAAATTGAGGAAAAAGTACATCAGTGATTTTCTCCTCGTTTATGGAAATTATACAATGAGTTTTAGCGATCTTACAAAGTCAAAATTCCCTCACAGGGAAAGATCAAAAAGATCCTATGACTCTAGAGTTGGTAGTGCATATACGAACCACAGATGCAAGAATGTTTATAACCCAGGCTATAATTTGAACTTAAACAGGAATCGTTGCGGAGAAGCGGGTGAATCGGGTGAATCGGGTGAATCGGGTGAATCGGGTGAATCGGGTGAATCGGGTGAATCGGGTGAATCGGGTGAATCGGGTGAATCGGGTGAATCGGGTGAATCGGGTGAATCGGGTGAAGCGGGTGAAGCGGATGAATCGGGTGAAGCGGATGAATCGGGTGAAGCAGACGGAGCAGACGGAGCAGATGAAGGAACATCAGTACCCCACAGATCTGACAGTAACACATGCAGGGATGTACGCTTCGGTGAAAAAAACGAATGTGGCAACGCCAAGGTGAAGAAAAACTGTTCATGCTCCAGGGACAATTCAACAATCGAATGTGATCGAGAAATGTGCTGTGGAAAATTGAGACCCTTATGTAGTATTGACGAAGGAGAGAAGGGAGAAGAGAATGTAGGAACTAAAGAGTTCAAGAGAAAACGAAGAAACACGAGCTTTTATATGAAGAAAAAAATAAAAATTGTTAAAAAAAAAATTCACTGGGGAGAAGTAATGGAAGAAGGAAGAAAGCAAAATAAAGACATCTTTCAGTTCACGTTAGATATTAACAAAATAGCAAAAATACTTATTATGTATTTACAGGAATATGTATATGAAAGCGATATAGGTGATTCACATATCTACGTTAGAGAAATATGCCTCGGACTTACCGCCTTTTTGTTAACAGCATATCCCATATACTTTTTCAAGAGGAATTGCAACGGATTCAAACGAGGGAAGGAAGGGAAGGAAGGAAAGGTAGGAAAGGTAGAGAATAGAGGGAAGAGAAAAGACAAAATGGAAAGGACAGCAAATAGGACGGAAGTAGATGTGGAAGAACAGCGAACGGGTAGGAACAGTGAGATAACTTATTGCACAGAACAAAACTGTGTCGGTGAGTGGAAGGGTGAACCCAGTCAGAACCACTTCTACGAACGGTTCGACTCAGATGACAGTGAAGAAGATGAAATGGGCAGTAGTGAAAGAGGCAGTAGTGAAAACGGTGAGCACTACCTGAAGGAGAAAAAGGCAGTGCAGTATGAGCATGTCGAGGATGGAGACGTATTGATGTATGTCCTGTTTGAAGTCAAAAAGAAATACATAAATATAATGAACCAACTATTACTAAAATTATTGTGCGAGAAAAATATAAGAACACAAAAAATGTGCTTGTTTGTGTTAAATTATTTGTACAATTATGCGACTTTTAATGATAAGGAAGAAATGGAAATATTTTCATTTAGTAACATTCTTAACAAGTATTGTCATGATTTTCCATACGAATTATACCTGAATAAAAAAATTGACGATAATATTAGAAAGAGTAAACGTAACATTTACAATTACTTGAATAGCTCGACAACGAATATTTATGAGGTTTTTAAAAATATAACTATTCATGTATGTGATTACTATGAGCCTCTATATCTGAAGGACAAAGTAATGTCCGATGTAAGCTGTACAAAAAATTATAGGAGTGAAATTTATGTAAATGGATGTAACAATTTGGAGTGTATAAAAAAGGTTTCAAAAGTGAGAGAAAAGAAGAAGTCATGCTTGTGCAAATATGAAGAAGAAATCACCACTCTATTCTTAAATCGTCCATATAAATATGGTCTCATCAAAACCATTTTTAACAAAATTAATAATTTCATTTATTTGTATAATTATGCACTGAAGTACACAAGTTTTTCTATTTTTCATAAGAATAAGTTTATTTCCACGAGGAAGGGTCAAATGCGAGGGAATGTCTACTCATCTGATATGAACGATCTAGGGGATGGTGAAACTTTGAATCGTAGTCATATCTATGGTGGTACTACTAACAGTTCAAAGGGAATTGAAAAAAAATCCCTTCAAGAGGAGGAAAATGTACTAAAGTTTGAACAAGTACTTATTAACAACGATTTTATAGATGACATAAATCTAAGCGAGGATGAAGAAAAAATATCTATAGAGGAGGAAAATTTAATAAAAGATGTTCATTTTTTACTAGATAAAACAAAAAAAAATATTAGTGTAATTAAATGTTTGGAATATAATGAAACCCATCTTTATAATCACATTTTTTATTTACTATTTTTAAATAAATATAACTATTATCTTATTAGTGGATTTTTTACTACTTTATGTTATTATTCATCATATACAAAATATAGTAATTATGAATACACAAATGTAATGAAAACCGGGAAGGAGAAATCTACTGAATTCTTATTTTTCGATTTTCTTGTACGATATAAAGACATTTACACCTTTGGATACATACGAGACGACATACTGTTCTTGTACATTAGATATTACAAAATGTATTATGTGAATTATGATTATGCACATGTTACTCAGATTTTCCATTCTCATAATGAGAAAAAAAGAGAGTTGAAGAAATTCAATAATAATCATACTAATCACAACCCAGGGGATGAATGCAACGTAAGAAATAATTCATCTAATGTAGATATTAATATAGAGCACGTGCCTAGGATAGGTACTAAATCGACAGAGTATATTTCTAGCTACATTGGAGAAAGCAGTACTGTGGGGATGGGGGAGGTCATCCATGGTGATCTAGACCAGACGAAAGACCCTTCGAATTCTTTCAATATGCATAATATCAATTTACATGAAATAATTTTAATGGAAAATAAAAAAACAGAGAAAAACGAAAAGTTTAACTTTTTAAAAAATATATTTCATAATTACAACATATTCTTCGACATAAATGTAATTATTTTAAATGAAGAAGAATACAACGGAAATAATGGCAGGGAGTTAAAAGGGGAGATAAAAAATAAAAGAAGAAAAGACAACAAACAAATAAAAAAACAATTTCAAGAAAAAATTGTATTACTAGAGTATGTCAATATATGTTTAATTAAAATTTTATATTACTTGAATAATTTCAATTTAATACAGTTGGAGACATTTTTAAAAAGTGTTAATTCATTTGTGAAATTTTCACTCATGAATAATTTTGCTGCCTTTTGCTTTTTGAACTTTATCCTTTCCACCATTAAAAAATATACTGCCTTTTCACTTATTCGAACCATATCTGAGTTGATAATAAACATTTTTATGTCTCCCAATGTGCATTTAAATGTGAAGAGGTTTGCCATGTTTCTGGTTCTGCATTTTCTCTTGCACAGGTTCGACAAGCAGTGCATATCCCGTTTCTGCTCGCGTGAACAATATACTATGCAGATATGGAGAAGTGATATATATGTATATATATGCATGTATTCATGCATGGATGGAATTTTTTTTTTTTTTTTTTTTCCACATGCATATAAATCATAATACATGACAATGTCTTGACACAAATTAATTCATGATACACTATTCAGTTGAACATTCTGTGCACACACACTGTCCTTCCTTCATTTTTCACCTATCCCTTAAATGACAGATACCCCAAGATACGAGAATTCACAAATGAGTACCTCTATGCAAATGTTAATTTCATTTCTCCTGAAAATGTCAATAATTACCTATTTAACAGTTATGAAGATTTAGAAGAAGTAATTAGTATTCTGACAAGTACCCATTTTTCATATACCCTTAGAGATGGGAAATTACCTTATGAAATAAGGACAGCCGTGAATAAGATTTCGACCCTCGTTAAAATTCCAATAATTATATGACATTCTCATCATTTTCTTCATTTTCCAATTCATCTTCACTTTTGTTATAATCGAAATTGTAATCATCTTCCAACCCTTGCTCTTCTTCGAACATATCTACAGGGGGTGAAGCACGGAGTACAATAAGGTGAAAATGGTGATGATGGAAATGGTGAAGAATGGCAAAATGAACATCAACGGTTCAATCCCATGATTATAAAAATGCTTGGATGGGTATCTGCTTATCCACATGTTTGGTCAGGTTCCCCATCAAGTTCATGTACCAACATGTATATACAAATGCTCACGCATGCACACTCATACGTAATATACACACACAACTATAGTATGCAAACACAGCTATTATATACATATATATATATATATATATATATCTAGCAGTGCAGTTGTGTTCGCATCATGGTATACAACTTATTCAAGCGACCACTATCGTGTTATATTCTCTTTTCATTGTGGATGATCTTTCTTTCTTTTTTCTTTTTTTTTTTTTTTTTTTTTTTACTTGATGCGTTATCCTCTTTATCCTTCTCCTTTTCTTCCTTTTCATCTTTTTCGTCCTGTTCGTCCTTTTCTTTTTCCTCATTTTCCTTTTCCATATTTTTTTTCACACGGTTGGGCAAGTTAAGCAGCACTTTATCTTCCTTGTAAATATTTCTGTATGTATTAAAATATAACTCATAGGGATAATAATGAATGTTGTCTTTATTTATGAGTTTTTCTTTATATAAGTTTAATTCATCCTTATCATGAATTTTATTTTTCTCATAATTATAAATTTCTACACTCTTCATATGATATTTCAAAATATTATTTGTAATTACAAAATCTTCATTGTAATTGTTCATGTCAAATTTTGTCAGCACCTTTTGTATGTCAAAATCTATTACTGATAAGAGATGCCCATACGTGGAGTGCAAAAAAGGGGGTGGATGGGGATGGGGAGCGGGGAAAAAATAAAAAAAAATACATATGTATATATATACACACACATATATATATATATATATTGAAGAGAACTACTGTTACATGTAGGTGAGGACTCACAACTCTGCAATATCTAAAACGAAAAATAAAAAAAAAAAAAAAAAAAATCATAATCATATGCTTTCTATTTCCTCATGATTCAACACACGAAAAAACATGTGCAAAATTTTACAGAATAATAAACTAACACCTTTTCTCATCAGCCTTTTGCCTTTCCTTCTCCTTTTCATTCATTTTTTCACTTCAAAAAGAAATGACACGAGACATCTCCTCTTTTCGGCTAATTTTAAAAATGCTTTCTCTCTTCTTTTGTTGTCATAACGAAAAATTTTGTTGTAAAATTAGGTTCTCTTTATATTGTTGCTATATCTTTTTTTTTTTTTTTTTTTTTGAAATATGGACTAATGTCTGTGAGAAAGAATAATTTCGTTGTTCTGGCCAAAAAAATGGCTACATGTTTAATTCAAGGAATCAAACGGGATGTGCGTTTATTTATACAAGCATACATATGTGTTCACAATATATCCATGTGTTTTATGTATAAATTTGTCGGTATTTTTTTGGATATTCATAGATATTTATTATAAATACGACCCCTAAAGAAACGTTTCTTCCTACATTTTTACGAATACTGCTTTTTTTTTTTTTTTAATTTTATTTTCATTTTTTAACAAATTTTTTTTTTTTTTTTTTTACCACTTAAAGCAAACATTTTATTTTTTAATAAATTTTCTTTTTTCCCCTACCGCCTTGGTACAGCCATGCATTATAATCATTTTATCCTTTTTTTTTTTTTTTTTTAAATTTCCAAGAAAATAAGATTTTACTCATTTATAAATAACTTTGCTTATGTAAAACAAAAAAAAAAAAAAAAAAAAAAAAAAAAAAAAGAATTTCTTGAATATATTTTTCATTTTCTTCTTCTTTTCTCTCTGTCTCTCCTTTCATATTTTTTTAGCACTGTTACCATGAAAAATACAATATATAATAAAATTGTACAATTCTTCCAATCCACGGATAAATTGTATTGAATGTATACATATATATACATGTTCCTTCGATTTTTTCCCCACTACCCCATACAATCCTTTACCTTTTTTCCTTGTTTTCTCAAATATTTATTTACGTATCGTATGATATTATAATGAATAACATATGCATACGCAAAATTAAAGGATGCTGCTTCATAAGTAACATTTTTTTTTTTTCTTCTTTTTATTGAAAATGCATTTTGTTTCGTTTTCTTTTTTACAAATTTTGTAAATGCTTAAAAGGTTAAAGGATTAAACTTAGGATTACTTTTATCATTGCGCGTATTTTGTTAGTCCACTTAATACCATTTACATAGATAATAATAAAAGAGGAAGAATTTGGCATTCAACTATTTTATGGGATATGCATAAGGGTAATCACACTTAACCCCCCTCGACAGTTAGGTTTTTAGTGGCGTATAAAGGCATATATATATATATATATATATATATATATAGGTAGATGGGTATATAGATAGACAGATGGATAGATAGATACATGAACGAACCTGTATGAGGAGAATCGCTTCTTTTTTTTTTTTCACAAAACAAATCTCATGAACCATCGGAAAAATGGCTGGAGTTAAAAAGAGACCCGTGAAAAAATTCAACTTCGAAATTAACCTGAAGAGCGATATAGAGGACAAGGTAAAGTCATATATAATATCGGACAGAAATAAAATGAAGGAAAAATATAAGCAAAAAAGAAAAAAAAAAATAAGAAGACGAATAAAAATGGAGTGTAAAATATCAACTTTTGTTTTCCCGAATTCAAAAAAGGAGAAAAAATTAAGATTAAGTTACATAAATAAGTTCATAAAAAAAAAAAAGTTAATCAAGCATCATTTGAGGGAAATACGAGAGAAGATAAAACATTTTCAAACCATGGCACATATCTGTCAGAAAAACAACCATATAGAGAATGATCCAAATATAAAACAACACATTGTATCATGAGTCATTTTTTTTTTTTTTTTTCGCACAAATATATGTGTGATTAATAATCATTGCCAGGATTAGCAAAGAAGACATAGATATTTAATGGGGTTTATAGATGTAAAATATTTATGATAATCTAAATGGTACAATATTAAAGGGGGTGATAATAAATTATCTCATCTGTTACTATTGTGTGGGAGCCAATTTTGCCCTCCATCCTACCCCCTTCCTTTTTAGTCCCCCATTGTAGTTAATTAATATGTTTATGCAAAGCTTTTATTTGTATTATATACATTTTTTACTTTCATCAGTTGAAAGAAGTATTCTAAAAGCTATTTTATTTTATTATTTTATTTTATTATTTTATTTTATTTTATTTTTTTTGGTTTGATTATTTTTTTTTGTAAGTTTTAAAATATATAGTTACATTTTCTCGTAGGAACAGTATATGATTTAAAATTGTAGTTGCTTAGTTTCATCACGGGGGGCGTGAAAAAAATAATAATAACAATAAAATAAAACCCCTTGTGTTGATCACGACACAGGAGATGTTGTTAATTTCGTTTATGAGTTTTACCAAGTATTAGCTGTTTAGCTTTATGCCTGTATATATTCACGCATTTTTCCTTATGTCTCCTATTTTTTATGTTTCCCTCCATTTTTTATATTTTCTTTTTTTTTTTTTTCGTTTCACCTTTGTGCAGCACATGTTTTTGTTTCATTGTTTCTCCATATTTTCCATTCCATTTTCTCCTCTTTTATAAACCGTATTATACTTATAATTCCCTATACGTGCAATCTGATACAAGGCTGTTAAACTCATGAAGAAGTTTACTGATAGGTGCAAATTAAGATGAGATAATGATAAGGGGTGGGGTGTAGGTGTATATTCGGTTGAGTAAATAATGTAGGTACCATACAATGCTTGTATATAATAATACCCATATATTCCTGCAATTTTGTGTACGTTTCTATTGCACTACAAAACGACAATGAATATATTTTTTTAACAGGGGATCCATTTGGATTTTTTCTAAAACTTACTTGTTAATAAATTATAATTTCGTGGTTTAATGACGTAAGCAAATCTTGTGAATAGTAATCCAGTTAGACATATAGCTAAGGAGAAATATAGCATATAAATAAAGGAACATGAAAAATGTTGCAAAAAAAATAAAAAAACTAAAAAAAAAAAACAGAAAATATCCATGTATTATATAAAAATTATTAAATGTTGAAATATTGATCAAAATTACCAAACTGCTGGGGAAGGGATAAGAGTTTTGGGTCTCTGTTTATATCAACAATGTTCGCCAAAGATATTGACCATTTAAATGTGGGAGCCCAAAAATGGATGGTTAGAAGACCTGTGTCGGACACTTATAAGAAAAAAGAAGAATATTAATTTAAACGTGAATAAAATTGTATGCATTCAGTATGTGCAAAGTTGCTGGTGCACAAGTATGTACAAAGTTAAACAATCGCGTCTGCGTAGAGAAATAAATGAAAAGCCACACACGTATAGTTATTTTTCTATGCATATACATATATGTAAGTTCATATGTGCTGTGTTCGTTCTTTATTCCACCTTTTTTTCACGTTACTTCGAGTAGACATTCTTCAATTCCATTTTTTTATGTCTTACCCAATGCCTTCTTCACACTCTGATTAATGTTGTATCCCTTTATTTCATTTTTGATCCTTGGTATAATGTTTGGGTAAAAAATACTTTTAATTAACCCCATTTTAAATAAACCATAAATGAATCCACAACTTTTACGGTGGGAAACGTGGCAGAAGGTGAGGATTCAAATGCTAACGAAATGAACGCAGAGAAACTAAATTTTTTAAAAGTTGTACACGGACATATACGCAAAATTTTCTTTTTATTTATCTATGAAAATATTAAAAACAGGAATTACGGATAAAATTGTAACAGGATCTTGTCTTTTATAAGTGTCGTGTCTGCAAATATAGTGTAAACTTCCGCTTTCGTCTGAGCATTAGTATGTATATATATTTATGCATATGTGTACATATATTTAAATGTGCAAGCACACACGCAATAGTTTTCTATTCCCTGTTGGAATTCGTGTTACACAATGATTAGGTTACAAATTTTTGATCCAAAAATATATTGACTGAGAAGAAATGTAACACATGCATTTTCCAAAACTCCATACAAACATTCAATTTATGTATGGTTATCTTTTGTATATACATAAATAAAATTTTCCGCAGAAACAAATATTAAAAATTAAAAAAAAAAAAAAAAAAAAAAAAAGTATATTCAAAATAATGTAATTCTATACACCTCATATTACGCAAATTTATTTTATACAAGTAATCTAAAAATGAGACGTTTTAAATGTTTCAATTGAGGAGGGGAAAAAAAAAAAAATAATAAAAACTTCATAAATGATCTTCTGAAATTGCAAACACCTATTCAGTTTGTGTGATAATCCCTATAGCTCCTCTTTTTTTATTTTATTTATTTTCTTTTTTTATCTTTTCAATTTCAGTACATCCACCAATTTTCTCACTAATGCGAAGAGGTGGCATCACATTGCTCAGTTATACAATAACTGAAACGGTATAATATTATATACGCACCTACAAAATGAGATTGCTTGTAAGAATATACTGAATTAATCCTAGAACACTAAAATGAATAGGGGGAAAAGAGGAAAAAGGAAAAAATAAAATAAATAATGTGCTTATTGTTTATCTAAAAAAATCAACAATCAGCTGCCTTTTTTGAAATTTTTTTTTTTTCAATTATTTTATTAAATAAAAGAAGAGTAATGTTCTCTGAGTAAAATTTTTATGTAAAAAACCATTTTTTATGTATACACCTTTGAAATGATAATGTACTCCTGACATTATATCCCCAAATGAAAACAACAATAACACAGAAGAAAAAAAAAAAAAAAAAGAAAAAAAAAAGCCAAGTAATAACACAATTATTCACTTGTAAAAAATATAGATATGTTACAGTAGAGTTTCTATTTGAATTAAAAAAAAAAAAAAATACACACTTATCAGTCACATGAACGTAAAGATAAGTATGTTTATGCATTATTGAATGTTTGCGATGAAATACCAAAAAAAAAAAAAAAAAAAATTACAGCAGTGATTAACAACTTTTGGGATACTGTATTTTGCTTAAATTTGGATGTGTTATATTTTTGAATAAGTATTTTAAATTATCCTATGTCTTGGTACATGTAAAATGTCAAATCAGGGTGAAAAAGAAACGAGCATGTGGCCATAAAAGTGTATACAAAAATATTAAGCATCAGCTAGCATAGCTTCCTTCGTTCATCTACCCATTGGTAGTAATAAACATATATCTTCGAAATGTGAACTTAATTGATGAGGTGGTATCCACATACGAGCTGCCGAATATAATATTAATTTAATTTCTCTATACGAGCAAAATATGTATAGGAAAAATAACTGTTCTTATGTTATGGCATTTCTTGTAATTTAACCTCAAAGAGTAGACAAGAAATGCATTTTATTTTTGGGAATTTCATGGTTTGTTCCCGCTTTTTAAATGTACTATATAACACACATGATAGTGGGAGAAAAATATATATTTACATATATATAAAGAAAAATTACAAACTTTTATCATCTAATGTATATTTTTTTCTTTTTTTTTTTTTTTCTTAAATACAAAGTTTAGTAATTATCGTAACAATGAAAAAAGATTAATGCTATATCTTAAGCTATCAAATTTTAATAAGAAAAAAAAAAATAAAAAAGCGAAGCGAAACGAAGTAAACTTTTGTGCATCATAATATTGTCTTTTTGCGGGTATTTTTTTTTTTTTTTTAAATGAAGCAGTTTTGCAAGAAAATAAAAAAAAAAAAAAAAAAAAAAAAGACCATTAATATATTAGGTGAAGAAGTTCGTTTTTAAACGCTTTTGAATATTTTAAATTGTTACACCCAATCGATTTAAAAAAGATATTCCTATTTTTTAATATTCACATGTGAATTAAGCATACGCGCATATATATTTTCCCATGTGTATATTTATTTTTGTTCGTATCTACAATTTTGAAAAAGTTCGGGAGAATATGCATTAATGTACACACTTAATTGTTTTTTGTGTTTCTGTTTGTGTTTTTTTGTTTTTGTTTTTGTTTTTGCTTTTCTTTTACTTTCCTTTACTTTTGCTTTTGCTCTTTTTTTTTTTTTTTTTTTAATTCTCTATAATTGTTCTTAATGCAAAATTATGATTTTTTTTTTTTTTTTACGAATTATTTTACATATGTAAAGAAAGGGGTGGATTTATTGCTCCTAAAAATAATTGAAAAGGCCCCGAACAAAAGCAACAAAGACTCGAAAAAGGGGGAAAAAAAAAAAAATAGTCTAATTTAATAAAATAGCAACACCTGAAACGATAGCAATCAAATATATTATGATAGCCAAAGGAACCCCTGAAATATGTCTTTTTTTTTTGAGTAACTGTGAAGCAGGAAACAGAATTAACATTATATCCATATATACATGTGCATATATATAAAGGTGTATATGTTCTTTCATAAACATATTCTGAACCCAATTGTGAGAGAAGAAAAAGAGAATCTTCATCAAGCACATAAGAACTATCAAAACATAATTCTTTAATGAATGAAAACACCAATGAAAAGATGGATGAAGAAAATGAAAAAAATGAAAAAAACGGTGACAAAATGATGAAAGGCGTGATAAAGAAAAAGTACTTTTTTTTTTACTTTCGTTTAATATGTTCATACGATGCCTTTAGAGGCATATGAATGCGCATTCATACATTTTTTCATAAATAAACTTTGGGTGTGCCTATGTGTGTAATGTTACGCTGGAAATAGCTTTTGGAAGAAATGAGAAAAATAAAAAATAACTATTATATTTTTTTATGTGACATTTCGCTATTTAATTTTTCCATCATTTTGTTTTTCCATTTTTCTTTTCCTTTCCCCTCCGCTCTTATTCAGATTTTTCATTTCCCCCCAGTTTTCGGACAAAAAAAAAGAAATTGAATACAATGCGCTAAGGATATACAACATAAAAGAATACATCTGTATTCACTTAACGGTGTCTCTATTAATCACATTGGTAGAATGCTTTGCCTTCTCTTCAAGTAAAATAAAATATATATATATATATATATATATTGCATCGATAGACGTGTGAATATGAGTCTACAAGTGAATGTACAAGGATAAATATTTACATGGATACACACAGTAATATTTTTACACAATTGAAAAGTTAACGTCTTTACGCCTTAACGTTTTTTTTTTTTTTTTTTTTAATCTCTTACCATTTCTTCTTCATAGATCTAATTAAAAAAGACCCATCTGTTATGGAACTTTTTGTAGTTGTAATCTCCATTTTGAATTGTTTGATGCACGTTGTTGTGTTAATAAAAATTTTCACCACCCCCCCCAAAAATGCACTTACAAAAATTTTGTTTGTTGGATATATAATTATCGTAAGTTTTCAAGTGAAATTTCGAAGATATTATTATTATCGCTACGTTTGTTAAATATAAACCCATGTGCTTTTGTGCTTTTTTTGCAAATTTGTCGTTTTCATTATTACCTTATTTTTATTCCATTTCCCATTGCTATCCTCCCCCTCCCCCCCTGTACAGAACCAAGTTTTTCAATTTTTATCTCTTTACTTTTTTACGAAGCAAAACGAAGTGAATAAAATCGAAAACTCGCGTTTCACCTTGTACAATAACAAGTTTAGTTTGTACATACACTTTTTTGTAGATGCAGTTTTTCTTCTCTGTCTTCCCTCACTTAAGTATGTAGTTTGACCATTAACTCCACTTACGTCTGTTCAGAGGGGGCTGTGTGCAGCATTCGCAAATTAATGCAGACGCTGCCCAACGACTATGCCCTCACGTACAATAATATATATATATATATATATATATATATATATATATGTTTATGTGTTTGTGCGTTTGTGTGTACGAGCTTGTATATATACATATTCTCATGTGCATGTATGGGCGTGACCAGGTCTATGCTGTGGGGACGCACACGAATTCTTCAAAGCAGTAACTTAAATAGGAAATAAAATGATCCTCAGGCACCCCCAACCAATTTGTGTAATTTTTACCCCTTGTTCAGATTCCTTTCAACTTTACTATTTCTGATTGGCTACTTAAGCATGAATGTAATATTAATGACATTACTTAAACATGGGGATTCGAGAATAGAAATTGATTTGTACTTCATGTACATACTAAGTGTGCTGTTAGTTATGTTTTTGATTTTAAGATACTTGGCAGAAGAAAGAAATCGAATTATGTTACACATGCTTAAGGATATATTGTGCAATAGCTATACGAAATTTGATGACTTTAGATCAACGCTCGACCAAGATACGGACTCTATAGCTGTAAATATAGCTAAAGATGATAACTATGACAAAATGGAAGAGAATTACAAATTTTTATTTTCAGATAAGCGTATATTTTTTAATGATTTTACAATAAATGCATGTTATAAGGACTTCTACTCAGTGTCTTATTTTTTAAAACGATTATTAATTAGCTGTGATAGTAGTAATAAAAATAAAGAGATGAAAAAAAGGGTGAACCAGGAAAAAAAAAATTTGGAAGATGTTAAAAAGCATCTGAACGAGTCAGACATTTTAACAATAGCTTACGAAGCAGATGTTTTAAAAAACATAAAAAAAATAAACTCAGATGAAATAGGAAGAAATTGGGATTATTCATTTATTGATTCAGAATATGCAAAATCAACACTAGTAATTTTAGAAGTAGGATATCATTTGATTAGTCCATATATCGAAAACAATGAAAAAAAAAAAAAAAAATTACAATTATTCTTGTTATTAATTAATAATATGTATTTCCCAAATCCATATCATAACGCAAATCATGGGGCAACCGTTTGTCATTTATCAAAATGTCTAGCACATATGACCGATTTTGATAAAAATTTAAATAACACTTATATGATTTGTTATTTAATAGCATCTATAGCACATGATGTTGGACACCCTGGTAAAACCAATGCGTACCTTTCTGAAACGAATCATATTTTATCGATTAGGTATAACGATATGAGTATTTTAGAAAATTATCACTGTAGTATAACTTTTTCAATTTTACAACTTATTGGATATGATTTTTTAATAAATAATGAGGACACCAAATTAGTGCATAAAAACAATTATACCAATTTGAGAAAATTTATCATCGAATTAATTATTTCTACTGACATGAAGCTACATTTTGAGTATGTTGATATTTTTAAAAAAAGAAAGAGAAGCGAGAACTTTGACATAAGCGATAGGGATGCTATAAACCTAGGTACCATTAACATCAAAGTAGCTGACATCGGGCACACGTGTCTCAAGTGGAGGGATCATGCTAAATGGACGATGCTGGTTAGCGAGGAGTTCTTTTCCCAGAAGGAGGTAGAAGAGCTCCACAGGAAAAACAAAAACATGGGTAAGCATTTTGCACAAGCGACAGCAGTAGTAGCAGTATCGGCAGTAGATGCTCGTTGTGCGCCCCCTGTACATCTTCACCTGCGCACGTGTCTACCTGCACATTTCGCCGCTCTAAACACGGGAATAGCTATGCCCCTTTGTGAATTCACAGGAATGGACCAACATATGCAGCTTCAGATGTGTCTGAACCAGCATGGCTTTATATACAAAATCATTTCATACGTTTGTACAATTTTCCACTTTCTCACCTATTTGCACCTTTAACATACTCATGTAATCGCAGATACGTATCAGTACAATCCCCTTGGGAACGAAGAATCCATCGATGAAGCCATGATATTCAATTATGAGAATATTTACATAAACTACATGAACAATATAAATAACGTTAACAAATATGATTTTAGCTACATAAAATTAAACTTCATACATCATCACGATTTTGTTAAAAGCATACCAAGCACACAAGTGTACTTTTTTGAAATTATTGTTATGCCGTTAATTCAAGAATTACAATCCATGGAAAAGGCAAAAGAAGAGATAACCCAAAAAGTGCTACACAATTTAAATATAAATTTAATAACATGGAGATTAATCGAAAAAAATATCAACCTATTCTACAATACTGAAAAAATGAGAGTTACTGATTATTACAAAAATTTAGAAAAGCAAAAATTGCTAAGAGGGATTATTAGCTTACTAGATCTTGGTGAGGAAGATGTTATATCCTTAACAAAAAATTATGATCAAGAGAAAAATATCGAAAAAATCGATGAAGAAAAAAAAAAAAAAGGGGAACATGTGAAAGAAACATAATAATACGCAATTGGTGGAGGTAAAATTATGTATGAAAAAGGAGGGGCACCTTTCTTACAGCACAAAAAATGAGTAAAATAAATGAATAAAAAATATACATAAAATAGAAAAAAAAATAATAATAATAATAAAATATAATAAAAAAAACTGCATTATACGTTTTGATGAACCCTTTTCTCAAGCGCAGCTTACGAAGTGAAAGGGATTACCAGATTGTCAAGTTAAAAAATTTTGAGATGATTATATTTTTATGTGATGTTCCAGGAATTATAAAGAGACAACATAGGAAAAACAAAAAAAAAAAAAAAAAAAAAAAAAAAAAAAAAAAAAAAAACCAATAGACCTTTTTTCTTAAGCTAAACGTGCGCTACATTAAAATACCTTCATTTGTTGGCACCGAATCATCTAAGACAGAAAAAACATGTATCACATTTGAGACCTTCATGGCGATAGCAGCAACGGAAATAAGCTAGCCAAACCGTAAAAATGACGTATGCATAAACTTATCCTATTCATCCTACGCACACACATACACAAGTACACACGTACATATATAAACCTATGTGTATACTCACACTCAAATACATAAAACCATTTTTAATGTCCTCAATCCATACACACGCCTCGGCAATATGTCAAAGAATATTTTATCGAGGCGTCCTCCTCGTTCTCATCAATGTTTGTGTTTTCATATAACTTGTGGTCCCGTCTGCCACCCCCCCTTTTTCCAATTTCATTCTTTTTATTTGATTTAATTTATTTCTTTATTACCGATTTAGCTCATCGATTTAACTTCGTTTTGTGCTTTCACCAGTAGAAAATCAGACGCGTCTATTTGTGTACATATATGCAAACATGTGTGTTAATATACATATATATATATATATATATATATATATATATATATATATATATTTTTTTTTTTTCAAATGTACCATCTTGACAATCTAGTTTATTACTATTAGAATTATTACTACTACGGCTTTTTTTTTTTTTTTTTTTTTTTTTAATTCATTTCTTTTTCATATAGAAAAAAAGTATGTTTCAGTAAACATACAAAAGAAGGAAAAAAAAAAAAAAAAAAAAAAAAAAGCTTAAAGGAAAGATAAAATACACTAGTTTATTATAACACCTTTAGGAGCTATTTTCCTTTTTTTCCTTCATGTACTTCTCATAATCTTCCTTAATCATGTTCATCCTTTCATTATAATATATCCTGTCATTGTCGTCCAAAAATTCGTCATTTTTTTCTTTCAACTTCTTTAAAATGAATTCTTCCCTTTCGCTTTTGTTCCTCAGTTTCCTCCAGTCGATGTAGCTTATATGAATAACATTGTAGCCTGCATATGTACATGTGGGAATTGTATATATAGTAACATACAGGTGGAACAAAAAGGGGTTACAAACATGGCTGTTTATGCCTCAATAAACATATGCATGTACATGTGTACGCAAGGATAATTTTTCATCTTCCCATAATTCCACCTATTCGCAGAAGCGAGGGGGTGAAATGCGTGTTTAATCTCGTTCCCATTTCGTGAACGCGAAGAGGTGTAGAAAAAAAAAAAAAAGAAGAAGAAAATAAAAGAAGAAGAAAATAAAAGAAGAAGAAAATAAAAGAAGAAGAAAATAAAAGAAGAAAAAAATAAAAGAAGAAAAAAATAAAAGAAGAAAAAAAACATTTTCACAAGATGCACATGCATGTAGTAACCTCATGAATGTAAACTTATATGCTGTACTACACTATATATACTGCTATGTTTTTTTTTTTTTTCTTTACCTAGTTTTGTCAGAATTCTATGCTTTAACTTTGTGTATGTTGTATACCTGTTACTATTTGCATAGAAGTGAGATGGTCCATCGACTTCTATAGCTATTGGTCTATTGTCAGCAAATATAGAGTCTTCGTTATTTTTCTGGTCTCCCACATTATTATTAATGGGATTGTCTTTTGTATTTGTTTTCAAGGGTCCAGCTAATTTTTCGGTAATGAGTTTTATCAAATTCAACTTTTCCTTTTTTTCTTCTTCACTTAAATTTTCATCTACTTCAAAAATGTTTGGTATATCTTCGTCATTCTCTGTCCATTTTTCTGAATTATCATTAGGGTTGTTATTGAATTCTTGTTCTTGTGAAAATTCTTGTTTGTTTTCAAAGGAAATATTTTCTGAATGCTCATGGTTATTTATTTCATGTTTTATATCTTTCATATTTAATATATCTTCGTCTGTGTTATTCAATTTTGTGGAATTATTCTGTACATCATTTAGATTTTCGAATTCGTTTACATCATTATTTATATATGCATCTTTATAACTTTTCACATTTTCTACTTGTGATTTAAATGGTTTATTTTTGTGTTCAGATTTATCTTTTACAATACTGGAAGTTTCGTTTTCGCTATTTTTCACGTTGTCATAATTGTTATGATCACACGAGTTGTGATCATCTATATAACTACTTCTAATGTTACTGTTATTATTTTTGTTTTGGTGTTTTTCTTTTCCCTTCTGATTCTTTTTAAGAATCTGGTGGTCTGAGTTCCCTTGGACCTCGTCTGATTTGAACTCTCTATTAGTTGTTTTTTCAAAATGAATATTAGCATAATTCTTCAACTGTTCATGGGTATGGTTCACATCAGGAAAGGGATTCAATTTTATATCATCTATAAATTTTGTCTTTCCATTTGTTCTATTATTGGCTGAGGAATTGAATTCCTTATTTTCTAACGTATTATGTGATGACATGTCTTTAACATTTTCGACATGATTTCCCATATGTTGGTTGTTCTTTATGTGTAGTTTTTCATTAACATGTGGTACCTCCTCTTTTTTCTTCTGATCATTTTCATTTTGCTTATTTCCTTGTATATAATTCAGGTAACTGTTATTTATATAATTTTTATTTTCAGAAAAATTTCTGCGTCCTTGGAAGGCTACAAAAAATAACCTGCTCCTTTTTAATATCATTATTAGTTAAAGTAAACATAAACACAGTTGTAATGGTTAAAGTTCTCAATTCAGAAAAAAAGCAAAGTCAGTGGGGGATTCTCCAAATTACGAAGGGGAGGTAGGGACAGGTAAATGGGTTTAGAGAAAGAGTCTCCTTATTTTTTTTATCCCTTTTCCACCTCGTTTTTTTTTTTTTTATATACGAGTGTTTATCTACTCATAAAGTGTTTTTAACTTTTTTGGATGTTGTAGATTTATAAATATGCATATCCTACAAAAGGGACTAATAAAAAGGTTCAAAAATTAGTACTCCTTCCTGGTCTGTAATTGCGTATGCAGTAATGCAGAATGGTGACACTAACTGATGATTAAAAAAAGGAAAAAAATGCAAATTGCCCAAGTGTACAACCGCAAAAAAAAAAAAAAAAAAAAAAAAAAAAAAGTAAGCAAGCTTATTCACTCACGTACATATAGATTAGCATATTTACAAAACGTGAAACGATTGCTGAGGGATAATTTTGTTTCCAACATATATGTTTATGTATTTGTATATGTGTACTTGCATATTTATGCAATTATGCACTTCCCCTTTTTGAATCCTCCAATTTGTGCTTCAATTATTTTTATTTTTTTCTCAATAGCAGAACGGTTAATTATGACCTTTAAAAAAAAAAAAAAAAAAAAAAAAAATCTCTCTTTCGTGACTATCAAAAATTGTTAGTATTAAAAAGTTGAACCACGTCACTAAAAATGTATGGTTTACCAAATCGCATGATAGAACGCAAGGTGTTCATAAGATCTTTTTCACATATCAACATATGCATGTACGATTGAATGTGAGAATGTAATTTTGGATTAGTTCTTAACTTGTATCCCTCAAAAAGAGGAACAATCTTAGCCTAACAAAAAATACAAAAAAAAAAAAAAAAAAAAAAATGTCCCAAGAGATAGTGAAGAGGAGAAATAGCTATATCACCATTTTGCTTGTGATTTGAAACGTTCCTATTTCTCCAAAATTTATTTGGATAACATTCCAATTTTGGCAAAAGGGGGAAAATATGCATACATGTGTTCCATCTCTACCCATCTTATTATTTCGCATAAATATAGAAGCTTTTTGCATAATTCAGTTCACTTCTCATGACCATCAGATTGGATAAAACATCTTTTAATTGAACTCACTTTTCTTGTTACCTGTCTTCCCATGCAAAGAATGAACAAGTGTATCCCAATACTTACTCAAAACATTCTGCTGAGGACAACTGATTTATGCATCAGGGAGAGAAAACTCGCACTTCGCTTTCTGGAGAATATAAGGGATATGACAACTAACATTGCAGAAAACAAAGAAATTAAAATTAAAAATGTAGAAGAATTAAAATTGAAAAGTTTAAGAAGAAATAAAAGTGCCGTAAAAGGTGATAATAACGAGGATGTGTATATTCTTAATGGAAAAATATTATATGCACAAAAAAATAAAAAGGAAAAAACTGAATTTAAAGCAAAACATACTTTGAAAAGAAACAAATCTTTAGATACATCAAATAATTTATTTTATGCCAAGTTGAATGACAATTTGAGGTTAAATAAATCCAAAGATTTTATAAAACAGGAATTTATGTTAAAGGGTTCTGAGGAATCAAGTGAGAAGATTTTTAATAATTATGCAGGAAGGGAGCCACAAGACAGTTGCTATAACTATTCTTTAAGCATCAGCAATGGTACTACCTCTACATCTAGGACTATGAATACTAAAATTAATGCTACCACAACATCCGTATTCTCTGCTAGTAGTGATAATATTGTGAATGATAAATACTATATAGATGAAACAAATGGAATAAACCTTTTTTTGAATAAACAAAATGGGGAATCGTTCACTGATTTGAATTTACAAAATTGTGATAATTCTCATTTAATAGCACGTCTAAATGAGGTTCATATAAATCGGAATTTAGCAAATGTAAATGCAGAGTATTCCTTTACAGGAGAAGGAGAAAAAATGAATAAAGACAAATTTGAAGCATGTGTTGAATTCAGTAAATCTGTTAAATCATGTGAATCTGCTAGAGCCAGTGAATATGCTAATCCCAGTGAACATGCTAACCCCAGTGAATCTATCAAACCCATCGAATTCAGAAATCCTAACAGAACTAGCGAATTTTCAAATACTACGAAATGTGACAGTAACAATAATAATCGGAGAGGTGATCCAAACGAGGACAACATGAAGACGCCTCCAGAAAACAGCAGAAACGTAAAACATGATATTTTTGAAATTTTAAATGAAATTAATTCTGAAAAACATAAAGAAGAAATGAAAAAATTTTTGAACTCTCTTTTATTATATAAAAATAATAAGTGCACAAGTTTTTTGGGAAATTATATAAGTCTATATTTTTGTAACATCCTAAGTCAAGATTTGAAAGATTTGAAATATTCCTATTTTGATGGAGTTGGTTTATGTGTTAATACTTTTTTTAGTGTTATAAAAGAATTAGATGAAGATCAATTATCCAAAATGTCGAACATTTATTTAAAAGAATACTTTTTAAACATTTTCCAAATTTTAAAATCTCATAATTTGAGTTTACATTTCGAGAATTTAAAAATAGAGAATATGAGACCTTTGTACATTTACAACATATTAGGGTTAATTAGAAAGGAGGGGAAAAGAACGAAAAAAGAAAATATAAAAAAATTTTTATATCAATATATTTGTGTACAAGATGAAGATTTAGCCATTCTTAAAAATAGCAATAGAATGAAATTTTTATCAAACATAATTAAAAATGGTGTTACAACACGTATGCACATGTTAGTAACGGTCTCCTATGATATCTGTGCATACGATACCATTTCTTCAAGTTGTATTACTAAAACGAAATATAAAAATGTAAATTTGGAATTTATACTGGAAAATCAGCTTGAAAATCCATTTTTCTCTCTACAATCCCCAGATTCAATAGATCTAAAATCGTCCGGATGGTACTTGGTTGATGTTAATCAAATATTGAAAGGGAATTTACCATACGAATAGGTCTTAACAAAAAAAAAAAAAAAAAAATAAAATAAAAAAAAAAAAATAAAAAAATAAAAAATGCGCTTGTAGATAGATACTGTATTTGCCTTGCAAATGATGGTACGTAATTTTTGAAAAAAAAAAATTTTTTTTTTGTTATAACTTTATGGCGTTTCCCATAATAATAATGTGTCTATGGGTACACAAAATTATTCTATGATTTTCATACCTTCAAAAAAAAAGAGAATTACAAATCCGTTATGACCTTAATTAAAAATGTATATATTACATTTTATTAACTTGCATAGGTCAATAACACATAGGTTAACAATATATAGCATGGTACAAAAAAAAAAAAAAAATTTCACTCAACAAACGGAATTTTCATATAAAACATATCTTTCGTTAGTTCATCCATTTCTTCGAGTTCTGGGAAATGTTTGTAAAGATCAGTTGCATCGCTATAGCTATTCTGTTCTTTATCATATTCGCGGTCTACTTCATCCAGTTTGTTTTTCTTTTTCTGCTTCTCTAGGTCTCTGCGTCCGGGGATTGGATTGGGGAAAAAAAAAAAAAAAAATGTTCAGTATGTGCAAAATAATTGTGCACAATTACGACCACGTCGCAACGGTGAATATGTAATTGGAAATTTGTACACACATATGCATTTACATATGCATGCATGTGTGTGTTCAAAACTCTCTAGACACGTACTCCTTTATCATATTGAGGAGGCGTCTAATTTGGCTGTTTTCAGGATCGAATAAAGCCCCTTGAAATGAATCCTGCCCATCTGTCATTCCTGAGGTTCCGAATGAACGTTTTCTGTTAATTTGAGCCTTGAGCATTGCAATTTGTTCATCGGTATGTGGTTCGACATCCTTGGCAGAGTTTTCATAAAGATTTATAGTTTCCTCTGCTAGAATGTAAATAGATGACATGTTTTTATTTTCCATACACATGGCTTGTTTTTTTTTTAAAAGAATTTCTTTTATATATTCAACGGGAGATACGAAATTATTATAACTTTTAATCAATTCATTTTTTACATTTTCATGAATTTGTAAATTTTGAATGTGCTCTTTTTTAACAGGCTTCTGATTATTTAATGTCAAATTCATACGTCCAATTTTCGTTTTGTAACTACATGGATATATGCGTAATTTATTTTTTAATTTAATTAAATCTTTAAGTAAATAATTCAGTTCGTAAATTCCCAATTTGTGAATTCTTTCATATAAGTCTTTGTTATAATTTTTAATCATTTCAACAGTTAATATATTTGGATTTTCAAAAACTAAATCAAAAACAGTCATAACCACATTTTCACAATCAGCATGAAGAAATTCTTTATATGAATGTTCATTCGAACAAAAGTAGTCTGATACCAATTTTCTATACAACTTGTAATTATCTTTTCCTAAATATGCCAGTATGTATTCTTCCCGTATGCTAGGATATCGATGATATGCTTGATTAATACCAGAGTAGTAGTTATCACATATGTTTTTCAGGAGTTTGAAGTTTTTATCTATATTGTTTTTATTCAATCGATATTCTGTATCCTTATGTAGTTCAGCTCTCATGAAGTAAAAATTTCTTTTTTCGAAAAAAATTTCCTCAAAAATTTGTTGATCTATTGATTTTTCACCTTCAAGTACTTTAGACTTGTTCGCATTTTTCTTCTCCCATTTTTTGGCATAATATTCCATTGTGGATTCTTCCTTTGGAATGGTTTTTTTTTTCCATGGTGTGGATCCATTAAGCTGTTCTTCCTTCTTCACTAAGACTCTTATATCTTTTTCTCTCTTAAAGTATGAATTAAATATTTTATTAATCATGCTATTGGATAGATTAAATATGTTACGGGCATTTCTCCATTTTATATTATCAAATCTGCAGAAGAAAATATCTCCTTCTTTCAAATTTTCATAATCAATATAACGCTTCTCTATCAGCGTGACAATATCTTTTATTTGTCCTTTGTCTATTTTACTATATCCCGTCGTGATATGGGAGAGGTCTTCCCTCCTTGTCACTGCACTGGTATTAGCACCGGCATTAGCGGTGGCATCTGTACCGACCTTAGTAGATGCATCAGTACCGACGTTTGCACTCACTTGGTTACCCATCAATTGTGTGCTTAAAACCCTTGTGGAGAGTATAACATAATTGTTGAAGAATCCAAGCACCTTTGAGGGATATCTTAGTCTTTCATCGTAGTTTATTATGATATTTTCTTCACTAGACATTTTCTTTATAAGGTCATATATCTGCGGGTTAATCGGATCAGATTTAATCATACTCCCTTCGTACAGATTTGGATCGGACGTTTTGTTAATAATTCGAACGTACAATAGTTTTTCCTTTTTATAAATATAATCATCTACGTTGATATATTTCAATGCATCTTCGTCGTTACAACCGTAGAAATTCTCCTTAAATTGTTTAAACTTTTCATTGTAATCTTTTCTTTGTATTGTTGCTTTTCCTTTTTTCTGATGCCAAGAAGTGTCTCCATGGATTTGGGTTTCAGGTGGACCATGAACATTATGCTGATTTCCATCTGCATGATGATCAACCCTTTGAGATGTCATTTTGTGGTTATGAATCTTTTCTTCATTATTTATTTGTTCGACGGCAGAAGGGGAATAATATTTTCCAAACTCGTGTTCTATGACTTTATTTTTCAAATAATCAAAGTTTCGGAGAATATTTCTAGTGTTAATAATGTTATGTGATTTTATTTTCACCTTTATAGAATTATTTTGATTTTCAAAAATTTTTACAATTATGTTATTCCCATCATTACAAAAATTAGATACCTCTCCTTTGAAGTATACATTTTCGAATAAATTTTCCACAGCAATTGTGTGTTGCAAATTTAGTAACTTTTCATTCATCTCATTTTTTGGCACTTTTTTTAAACTTAAAAAAACATATTCTAATTTTTTATTTACTTCAATAATGTATGCACTTAATTTCGGACCTAACTTCTTACTTGATTGTGCAAATTGTAGAATATTTTTACTATGCTCATCATTTTCATCGTACATTAGATAACCTCTTATACAACCATTTATTAAAACTACAAAATATTTATTCCTTATATTTTTCAAAATTTTTATGAAAATTTTTTTTTCAGAATTTTTCAATTCATTCAATTTGTCATAAATTTTTTCTTTTCTTTTACTTATTTCACTGGTAAATAATTCTCCAATTATCTTATTTTTTTCGTCTATTTCTTTTATCAGAACAACACAATCTGTAACCTGATTAGGTTCGGCACGCACCACTTTATCTTTCCAATTGGGATTCACTTTCCTCATCAGTTTGTTATATATTACATGGTCAATAAAATTATTGCTGTACAAGTATTCATACAAAAGTTCATTTTCCAGTAAATAATTGTATTCCTTTTTTATTATAATTTCTTCATTATCACCCGTCTTTAATTTCACATATATATCATTGTCCACGACATTGGACACTCTACCTACTTTTAGTTCCCCCACATTGATATCTTTCACGTCCTTTATATTATTTACACTTTTTTTTTTTACATTATTGTGTCTTTTTATAATCACTCTTCTGTTTGGAACGTTATTTCTACTACTACAAAGGAATCCATATGGAGTTATGTTTTTCCTCCTTTTATATCCACTAGACCATTTAACAAATCGTAAAAGAAATAAAAAAAGGTAAAGTGCGTGCAAGTGTTTCATTTCTGTTAAGGCATCACCTTATCTCTATCTTTACAACTTGCGCGATGCAACCTGTCTCTATTCATATTACACGATGCTCTGTATTAGGTACATACATGAGCCTATGTATGACAATGTCATACATACATATATACGTATGTACGTGTATTTTTACATGTGCTACATTCATCCCTTAGGTTTATGTTCATACAATTTTCTCAACATTTCCCATTTTTCATCCTCGTCACAAAGTAAGCTTGGAGGAAGAAATCTTCAAAGAGCTAATTTTTCCCCCGTGAATCAAAATGTCATTGTTCGTGTGTTTTTTTTTTTTTTTTTTTTTTTTTTTTTTTCTTTTGCTTTTCATCTCGTCTGGGGGGGGTAGGGAAAATCAATGTCGCGATTGTTGCGATTGGAATGTCACGATGGCGTCTTCCGTTATGTTTCTATTTATTGGCCCTTGGCTTGCCACTTACCTTGGAAAGTTACGCTCACATAAGGAGATTCTATTCTGGCATATAAGTCCTACGATTTAGCGCATCCAATTGTTTCAGGCATATTTGTATGTATATATATATATGCACATAAACATGTATATTTTACTATTTTATTTCTCCACTACTGTTACAATTGAAGAAAAAGCGTTTTCGTATTTTTACTGAGTTTTTAGAGGGCCCAAAATTTATTCTTTTCTCCCTCCATGTGCCCTTTCTCTCACATTAAGAAAGATATGTGGTGCGCGGATTAGATCGACAGGCCGTTGAATGTTCATAAACGCAAACGTGCAGATGACTCATTCGTTGCATTTTTTTGAAATTTTTATGAGATATTTTTTTTTTTTTGTGATATTTTTGAGATTTTTTTTTTTTTGATTCTTAAAGGGCGCGAGGTACACTTTCCTTTGGTACCTAGTTTGACTTTGATTTCACCTCACTCTGGAAAGCTGCATTCACATTTTTGCGTAATTTTTTGGGATATTTTATTCGACAAGGGGTACTTTTTTTTTTTTTTTTTGCATTTAATGGTATACCAAGTATTTATTAAATCGTGTGGTATGTTTGAAAAAATAAAACTTAAAAATAAATAAAGAAAATTTTCAAAAGGAGTTAAAAGTTTGGTAAGGTCTTGATAATTAGAGCGAGTGTGTTTAAATAGGAATAGGGTTGACAATCGGAATGGGTATTTTTGAGAAGTTTTTAATTGTGCGACATTTTGTATATGTACACACACTCAGGCAACTATATGTTTGTGCATATTTGCAGAACATGTGCATACAAGGGGGGGGGGGGGGTCCCAATTTGTAGAAAAATTCATATAGATATACTTTTCTTAAAATATTATTTCATCATTTCTTAACTTTCCACTCTTATTCACTAGAATAAGAACTGTCATATATATAATGTGTACTTTACACATATATGTAAATATGAACAACTGTTTATTTTAAACACTAATACAGAGGTGTCTTCTCCCAGTTAAGACAAAAAAGCTGGTACACGAAAATGAATAGGCATACATAAGTGCCCTAATTTCCATTATCCAATGTGCTAGAAAATTTTGGGAAGTAAACTGAAATTTCATTTTCCAAAAAAATGAAGATTAAATAAAGTATGGTAAATTGTAAAAATGGGAATTACAACGTATACAATATAACAGGAATGAAAGGGGGAAAAAAAAAAAAAAAAAAAAAAAGGTACACACATATATATATATATATACATATGTACTAAATTCTTATTTGTGAACAAAATTTTACTCCTTGTCATAACCCTTAGGGGTAACGGTAATAACAAAAGGGAAAAATTCCAGCATATAGAAAATTCCCCTTTTGAAAAATAAAAAGACAAAATGTGTATTTTGAATAGTACAAAATGCTTTTTTGTAGAGTTACAAGTATGCTATATTTTGTTTATTGGAAGTTCTCTATGATTACAAAGGTGGGAAAATGTAAACTATCCTTTGCATCACCAATATATGTTGATGTCTCTTCACCTGCAAATAAGGATGCTACACATGTACCTCTGTTTAATGCCACATTCTGTTCGTGCAAAACACATGTGCATTAAGTAGACATATCAGCAACACCATTGTGCTGTTTTAAAGGAGGGGAGTAAAAACAATTTTAATTTTCCCAAGAGAACTAGAAAATGCAGGATCGGAAAGAAAGGAAATAAAACATATGCACATGTTTATGTAAGTATATGTGTATGTAAGTATATGTGTATGTAAGCATATGTGTGTGTAAGCATGTGTGCACATATATGCGTGTAAAGTGACTACACATGGCACGCAATATGTGGTGTTATTCGGAACGCCCTTTTTTCACCCCGATAATTTAAGCATGAACGAGAACACAGTGTATAACTAAGATGGGTTAATTATTGGAATGGAACCTTTCAGAGTATTGCATATCTGAGAGAACAATCCATGCGAGAAACAAACCAAGAGAGATGAAATCATAATTAAAAAAAAAGAAAGCTACAAAGGAGAGAATTACACTTATAACAGCAGTGTCATAGTGGTACTATGGAAACACCATCACAGCGTCATCGCAAAGCCAAATTTTACTTTGTTATGGAGGAGGGGTTAAAGCTGTAGTAATTAAATGTGCCTAAGATGTTTTGACTGCTTTAGTTTGTAAAAAAGATGGAAATGGAAAGCTTAAAACTGTGTATATTTTTTTTTTTTTTTTTTTTTTTTTTTACTTCCGTAAAGCTTACAAAGTGCTCATTTTGCATAGTTACCATACGCATTTCTTTTAACACTCACACTTAACTGCAGCAGTGTGAAGAAATACAAGCACTTAAAAACGTAGTGCAATTTTTCGACATATGTGTTACTTTTTGTTCAAACATTTAGCACAATATCTTTTGGTCACCTTGTGTTACTTTTTCGCTTGAATTTATTTCATTTTATTTCATTTTTTTTTTTTCCTTTTTTTTCCTTTTTTTTCTTTTTTTTTTTTCTGTATGCTTCAAACTGAACGATACAAAAAGAGGGATATAGCATTGTTTAAGCAGTTTCACGTTTTAGGTAAATTATACATATTTTTATATATACATATATATATGTCAATTGTTTCTCACTTCCCCTCACTCCTCTGCTTTAATGATTGAATTTTTTATTATTTTATTTTTTTTCCGTTACTGAAATCGTGTGTCAAGTTTATTTGGCTTTATTGAACTAAGCCCGTTTCAGTGAATTCCACTTAGTTAACACACAACTCATCACCACATTATTCGTACCTATGGACACTTTAATTGGATTGAAGGGAAAAAACTTCATAATTCTAGCAGCAGATACGTACAGTGTCAATTCAATCATAAAATTAAAGAATGACGATAAAACAAAATTCTACGATATTAATGGAAACAAATGTCTCCTATTGGGAGGCTCAATTGGAGATAAAATTCAATTTGGAGAATTTATAAGGAAGAATGTGCATCTTTACCAGTATCAGAATTCAACTGATTTGTTTGTAAAATCTTTTGCTTACTTTACCCGAAAAAATCTGGCTTATTATTTGAGGAGAAATCCCTATGAGGTTAATTGCCTCATAGCTGGATATGACAATGTAAGAATTGAGGACAGTATCGAAATGAGCAAAAAATGGGCGAAAAAAAATATATCTGGATATAAAAGGCGATGAGATAACCACCCTGCCTGAATGTTTCGTATTTTCTCTATAGAAACGCACACATGTGTATATGAATTTAACTCTTTTTTTTTTTTTTTTTTTTTTTTTTTTTGTTTACTCCCGTTGCAAATGCAACATAAAATTTCACACACAACCGTTATTGCCTCCACTAACCCCTTTATAGAAGGACGGATATCAACTCTATTGGTGTGATTACTTGAGTAATATGGATGCAATAAACAAAGGTGCTCATGGTTATGGAGCATACCTTGTTAATGGAATTCTTGATAAGTACTACGATGAAAATATGAATTTGGAAGAAGCATTACTTATTTTTAAAAAATGCTTTGAAGAATTGAAAAAAAGATTTCTTCTTACACAAATTAATTATGAATTACGAATTATGGCTGATAATAAAATAGAGGCTCAATATGTGACCATTTGAATTATTTAGTAGATAGACTATTTTTGCACACGCACACACATGACGTCTCTCCTTTTTCTTCCACTTTTTACGTATTCTTGGTTTTTATTTACTCCTTATACATATCAACGACGTACAATATAGAAATTATGGTTTATATATATGTATATATATATATTTATATGAATACTTGTGCGTATGGAAATATGTCCTATTATGCGCTGTTTTTTGTGAGCTTAAACTGTATCTACATGTGTATATGCATAAAAATATAACATATGACCATTTGCTCACTTGCAAAATGGACATTTGAAAAAAAAATAAAATAAATAAAAAAACACGCACATAGGTGTGCCCTACTTTTTTTTAATATTTTTTTATTTTATACATTTTTAATGGTATAAGTTTTTGCATAAGTGAATAACTGTTTACTACAATTGAATATTATCACTAGTTAAATTGATCATTTATAGAGAATTATTTCTTTTCTTTTTTTTTTACAAAAAAGTTGGAACAAAGTTGGAACAAAGTTGGAGCAAAGTTGGAGCAAAGTTAGCACAAAGTTGGCACAAAATTGACGCGAAATTAACGCGAATTTGACATAAAATTGACATAAAAGGCCCTGGTTCATGGGTAAAAGAAACATCGCTCAAAAAAAAGAAAAAAAAAAGAAACAAACTCAATATACCTATAGTAATATGTTCAAAACTGCGTAAAGTTTATTTCTTCAGGTGTGTTTTTTTTCCGTTTTCTTAGCGTGTCCTCCCGTTTTCACTTTTTCCTTATAAGTACGTCTGGTTGGTTCCCCTCTTACCTTAGAGTATTTATAACCCTTTTTTTTATTTTATACAATTTTGCAGTTTGTCAGTATGCCTAGATAAAATAATCACAGCGCTATAAGGGACTCATCAAAGTGGTGAAAAAAAAAAAGAAGAAAATGCTTTGTCTATCTTAACAGTTGTATATATATTATCATCAAAACTATTTTCTCAATTGCACAAATGTATTATAATTTTTTAAACGCTTCATTTTTTCCATCATATATGCGCAAATTGATCATGTGAAGTACATCAAAGGGTAACGAACGAATTCAGGATATATGTAAGAGAAGTGATCTATACTATGTACTTTTCATTTTATCCTTGTTTTTTCAAAAAAAAAAAAAATTAACAAAAAATTAGATTTTCTCATACACTAATTCGCAAAAATATATAGCTTTTTATTTCACCCTGATGAATTTTTAAATAAGTCTTTAACTTTTTAATCAGAACATACTAAAAAATGAGTACATTCAAAATTGTCAATTATGAATGGGTAAAGATAAATAATTTGCGTATGTCTTCTCAATACGCATGTGGGTAATTCACATCGTTACTTTTTTGGGAATGTTCATTTTTAGTATCACTGGACTGTAAACCTTGATTAGCATATTATTTTATATTTTGAAGGAAATAATGTAGTAAATTATTCAGAGAAGAAAATCTTAGCTGAACAATTGAAATGAAAAAAGGAAAAAAAAAAAAATTTTTTTTAAATTGTGAATTTAAAAGTATGTATTCTTGTTTCGTTATTTGTCCCTTTACTCGGTTACAAGGATATTTTTTTATATATTTAATTTTACATGCAGTAGTCGTAACATATCAATCTTTCCTTTTTTTTTTTTTTTTTTTTTTTTTCATTAAGATTAAGGTTTTGTGTATAATATGGCAATAAATAGAGAGTGGGAGAATAATACTTGAAAGTAGAATGAACAAGAAAAAAAATACCTGTTAAGATTTATGTAAAGGAATAAATGATAAATGTAGAAAACACTTTCACCAACTTTGCTTGAAATAATTATCCCATCGTTCTTCTATTTTCGGTGATTTTTCTACAAGCTCAAAGAATATGCGCGCCCGTAAGTATGTATTTATATATATTTGCAAAAAAAGGCACAAACAAAAAAGCAATCTTTTTTTATGTACTAAATATGTTACCCAAACTTTTGACTATTTCGATTTATAGCATTAAAACACTACAACTGCACTGTGTTAAGGAAACCGAATTTTTTTATTTATTTATTTATTTTTATATTCAGTAGGACCCTAAATATACCATGTTGTGAATCATTTTTGACTTTTTCTCCTCGTCACAACCCCCTTCATAGACTACATCCTTAGTGTTACAATTTTTTGGAATAAAATGTTTCTTGCGAAATGATCATGATATGATATATACATATATATATATATATATATATGTGACAAAGCTGTTTTTTTTTTTTTTTTTTTTTTTTTTTTTTTGTCCAGATATTCTTTTAAAAAAATTGAGAAAATATATGGAAAGGAACACTTACACTCCCCTGTTTCTTCTCTCTTTTTCAAGGGTTACAAGTGTTGTATCAAACAAGTTTATCTAATATATATTAAAAAAATAAAAAAAAAAAAAAACACACACAAAAATAGCACAATGAGGAAGGGAAAAAGTACGTCATAGCGCCAGTATTAGAAAAACGTTATATAAAAAAGTTCTTCACGTGCAATTTAAAACCTCTATTCTCAAAAAAAATCCAAAGTGGTTTTTTAAAAAAAAGGGTAAAATCCTTTTTTTTTCGTGGGAATATTGTATTGTAATATATATTAAAGGGTGATTCAAAGGGGAGACAAGATATCTTATCGTATTTTAATCAAAAGCATAAGTTAAGAAAAATCAGGACATGTTGTCGAACTGGGCACTCTGTATCCGTTTGAGGTGAATACAACAGATGACTAACATAACAGTCATATATCAGCACAGTAATGCATCAGTAAAGCAGTGCACCAATGTATGCATCCCTACATCCATCCTTGCATGTAGGCACACGTTTTCCACACAAATTTACATACAGAGACGCATGCATATACATAAGGAACTTAACAAACACACCATCTAAACCATTCGTTCGGATTCTGCAAAAATGGAATTCACAGGAAGTAACTTCCTTCGACTTCGACTAGCGTTGAGTATGATAAGTGGAAAAGCCATAACTATTAAGAACATAAGGAAAAAAAGAAAAAACAGAAAATTAGGAAGAAGTGATGACAAGGTCATAGATGAAAAAGAAGGACTTCGAGAATATGAAGCTAAGTTGTTGAGACTCATTGACAAACTGTGTGATGATACAACAATTAGGATTAATGAAGATGGAGATGAACTGTACTTCAAACCAGGATTTTTAATAGGGAACGTAAGTGATGAAATCAGAATAAGTGATTTGCACAACACATTCCACTGTGGAAAGGAAAGAAGTATTACATACTTTATAGAATTTCTTCTTATGATAATTCCATTTTTTAAATATCCGGTTAAATTGTTACTAAAAGGAATAACAGATGATTCTATTGATAGCACTGTCTATACATGCAAAACTGTGAGTGAAAATTTTTTTAAAAATGTTTTAAAACTTGATGATAACTTTTTAAATATTACTATTTTAAAAAGAGGAATAAAATCTGACTGTTCAGGTGAAGTTTTATTTTTTATGAACAATCTTAAGACAATAGAACCCTTCGACATAAATGAAGCTGGGTTAGTTAAAAAAATAACTGGAACAATTGTTTCCCATCAGATATCCGTTGTGTTCAGAAATAAATTAATGAATATTGCCAAAAAAAATCTACATAACTTTACCCCACACGTAAATATACAAGTAGAAAATTCAAATATCAAAAATTCAAATTTGAAAAATCATTTCATTTCTCTGTCCCTTTTTGCTCACACGAAGAACAAATGCATTTATGCCACTGATATGTGTATTGATGAATTTTACTTTAAGCATGCAAAGGACTCTTTGACTTTCATAAAGCTAGATAATATAAGTAATGGCCTTCCCAAGGCCGATGTAGCTCATATTGGGGGAGAACTGGGGACATGGGAAGAATCTATGGAAAAAAATCAAAATGGCGATGAAAACGATGGTGATGATGATGATGAAGAAGATGACGATGATGATGATGAAAACGATGGTGATGATGATGAAGATGACGATGATGAAGAAGAAGAAGGTGATGATAATGATGATGAAAGCGACGATGTGTCGAACAAGCCACGCACTAAGCAGCAGAGAAACATGATTCCCAAGAGTGACACGAATAGCAGCGCACGAAAAAAATGCATCATTCAAAAGTGTGAATATAATAATACTTTGCATGATGCAGATATATATGAAAGACTAGGATTTTTTATTTCTTTAAAAATGATAAATGAAATAAAAGGATTACCCTCAGTTGACACAAAATACCAGTGGTTACCTTTGTTATACATGGCATTAGGAAATGACATTGCTGTTTCGAAAATTTCTTTAAGAATTATAAAGCCATATTCTGTTGCCCTTATTAGATTGTTACGAGATTTTTTCAGTGTTGTGTTTGATGTTAAGAAAGTAGAAAAATCACCAATTGATTACTCATATCTTATCAAGTGTGTAGGCATAGGCTATCGTAACATTTCCAAGAAAACATTTTAGTGAATTGATTTAAATTACGCTCTTCACTATTCATAAATACAAACCCTGGAAGCTTGTGCATGCATGTTATTTGTAAAAAAAAAAAAAAAGAAAAAAAAGAAAAAAAATGTCATTTTAGCATGATGTATATATATATGTACAAAATTTTCCATTTTATCACAACATCATTTGCCATTTTAAGTGTTTACCTTTACTTCAACTCCCTTTCATTTATGAAAAAATATCTGCAACGTTTATTTGCGTAATCTTCTTATAGTGTGTATATGTTTAATGATGTGCTTTTTTTTAGTCTATCTAACCACAAATTGGAAGTAGACATTTTTAACAAGGAATGCTGAGGGCACATATATAGTTGCTCCTACGTGAACGTGTAAATATGCATGAAAATGCATGAACATGTTTGAACATGAATATCAGCTTGTTTGTTTTTATATCATAACCTGTGGGATGTCTTTTTTTTTTTTTTTTTTTTTTTTCATTTCTTGATCCCCCACTGTAGAAATATTTGTACATATGGAATTTTCACATTTTGTATTATCACCAAAAGCCTTGTAGACACACAAAAAAAATAATAATATTTTAATCCATTTGTGGGTGTATATGGCATTTTTTTTATGTGAATTTACATTACAGAAACATATTTTCATTCCCTTTCTCATTCTTTTTGAAAATGATTGCTCAATATTTTCCTGGTATATTTATCTTTCATTATGTTTTTAAGTATTTATACATTTTTCTATCATAAGCTGGCATAGAATACCCTATATGCATATTACACAAACTTTAATAGTTTTCTCTTTTTTACAAAAAAAAATCTTTTTTTATTTTAAAAAAGGGTGAAAATGAAAAAGTTTTTCATGGCGAAAAATAAATTTCAGAAATTATTAGTAATTTTAAAAACGTCTAAAATAAAAAAAAAAATATATATCGAAAAAAATGAAAAGATTATAAAAGGATAAACTTTTAAAAATTTTCCATGGGACATTTTAAAAAGACAAAAAAAAAAAAAAAAAAAAAAAAAAAAAAAAAAAAATTAAAAAAAAAAAAAAAATTTGGGGAAAAAAAAAAAAAAAAAAAAAAAAAAAAAAAAAAAAAAATAAATAAAGGAAAAAAAAAAAAAAATAATATAAAAAACGTTAAAAAAAAAAAAAAAAAAAAAAATCAAAAAAAAAAAAAAAATTAAAAAAGGAAAAAATTTTAAAAATTTTCCATGGGAAATTTTAAAAAAAAAAAAAAAAAAAAAAAAAAAAAAAAAACATACATACATTTAAAAAAAGATAAAAACTTGGGGGTAAATAAATAACGTTGTATAAATACGCATTGCAATGTATCTGTGCGGGGAAAAAAAAAAATATATATATAAAAACATTGAATAAAATAAAGTAAAAATATATGTAATATATTAAATGTTCCTATAAATGAAGTAATATAAAACTGCATAAAATATGCGATAAAATCATGATAAAAGTGTGACCACCTAATGAAGCAAAATGGTCATAAATATATCATGAAAATATCACAGAATTGTCACAAATTGTGTTAATATATTCATTATGAATTAACGATACATAGTGCTATTGATGACGGAATAAAACAAGCAATATGTCACAATGGTAATTCATGGGGTGGTGGGAAAAATGTGCTACGGAATTATGTACATGTATATATGTACACGAAGTGTATACGAATTACAGCTTCTCCTGTGTTTGTGAGAAATGTTATTATGGTACAATGTTGGCACATAATTTACATGTATATATTTTCTTTCCCTTCCACACAATCAATTTAAAAGATCTGTATATAACACATTCATCATATTTTAAGCTAACATTCAACAATCTTATGGTGCTACTATCTATGAATAAATTTATATATATTGTGATGGGATTGCTTATATCTATGTATACATATTTATACAAAAATGGTGTATTACAATTAATTATTATTTTTACATGAAAATAAATATATCTTTCTGAGCTAGATAAAGGAACGAAAAAAAAAAAAAAAAAAAAAAAAAAAAAAGAGTTATCATTCTTTGGAACTATTTTTATATGTTGAACTTCTCTGTAGGAAAATAAATCACTACAAATCATAAAAAGATCCCCTCAAAAAAAAAAAAAATTCTGTTTACACTTTTTTCTGTTCAAAATTTCTTTAAATATGTACATCCTTTCTCTTACATACTCATGTGGTTCTCATTTTAATCCATTTCTATGTCATGTGTGCATGATATATGTAACAATATTATTCATTTATGTAGAGGTTTGTACATTTAAGTTCAAGGTAATGTATATATATATATGATCGTATTCCCCCAATCCCCGCTTAAGAACAACATCTATATAAAATGATATACTAAACTATACAATTTTTTTTCGTTTTTTTTGTTTTATTTATCTTTTTTATCATCGCTATTTTTATCTTCAAAAGATGATTCTTCAAAAGAATCTTCTTCCTCTTCATTTTCATCGTCATCTTCATCATCTGTTGGCCCACCTTCTGTTGAATTTTTCGTAGATTCTACATCAAATTCGTACTTGCCTGATTCGATATTTTTCTTAGATTCCATGGATTTTAATTTCTCTTCCATGTATGATGATAAGTGTTTTAAGGTACATTCTTTGGGAAGAGGAGGAACATTTTTATCATTAATTCTTGTGTAGAACATACCCGATTTACCAATCTTTAAATATGGTTCTGATACCCAGAAACGATATATTTGTGACTTTAATATTTGATCTATTTTTGCTACAATTAAACCTGGATCTTGTCTTAGTTTTGTCGAAAAGTTATTCTTACATTCACTCAAAATACCGTGCAAAAATAATAGAGGCTTTGATTCAATTGCATACAGAGTGTTGTTATATACTGCTATGGTACATTGATCCCAGATTTCTCTCAAGGCCTGTATATTTTATGATATAAAAAAAAAAAAAAAAATTATGAGCAATTCATAATATTTTTCATATTTCGGAAGTACATCACAACATGAAACTCTTAAAATGAAAATAATTAAATGAACATATACCTTTTCAGTTTTCTTTTCAATCGCATTATCTCCAACAATTTCTCGTACTAGTAATATCCACCACATTCTTGACCATCTCAAAACTTTTCTATAACGCACAACTTTTTTGATTTTATGAATAAGTTTGGTAAATGGATCCTTTACACCATGTTCATACAAATCTTTGATGGTTAAACTGAAAGACGTAAGGAAGAAAAAAAAAAAAAAACTCATTTGTGCAATTATATTCATACAGATTAAAATAAAAGAATGGGATACACTAGCAAGGTTTGATGTAAACAAAACTTGATTTGTGCAAGACTTACAGTACCACTTCAAATTAGCGCTGCTCTGAGAACATAAACGTTATATGCACATGTATGAATGTAAAAAGCTCATGTTGTTTACCTAATTGGATCCTTTACTATGGTTGTTAAAGCACTCGTTGCTGCTAAGTCACTATAACCTCCACACTGTACAACATTGGTGGTATTTTTATAAATTATAAAAAAAAGAAAAAATGAAAAAATGTAACTTATTTTCATTTTCAACAACAAGGGGGGAAATTAAATATTAAAACAAAATTTGTATTAATTTATATTAGTGAGATGTCCTAAGACGTCTCTTTATTTCACAAAATCAAAATTTAAAATGGGGAAGATGTACGAAGGCTGAGTGTACAATATTCGTGTTAATCTAAATAAAACTGCAATATGTGTATATGTATAGTGTGAATGCTTTTAAATAACATATCAAAATGTGTATACACACTCACATATATATATATATATACTGTGACAGGCGCAGATAAACTAATAAATTTATATAATTATGTGAAAGGCAGGACACATCTCCTTTTAAGCTATAAATATATGTTAACTAATTTTAAATAGATTCGATTTAAAGTTGCATAATAATAAAAATTTTAAATACTAGAATAAAAAAAAAAATATATTAAAGTAAATAATGTTTAACTTAAAAAAAAAAAGAGGGAGAAATGAAAACGAACAAAAAATTCTAAAAAAAAAAATATATAAAATAATTTTTTCTTTTCGTTTTTGGCTTATATATTTATGCAATAGGCAGAAAAAAAAAAAAAAAATAATAGAATTTTTTCCTTCGCTCTGACAATGAAGCTAAGTAATTATAAGGTGCGGCCCAAAGGTTAAAAATTTCATGTGCTGTATATGCTCTGCGTAATAAGAATAATTATATATATATATATAAACGTGAAACGCAGGTAATGTGAACATGTATTTGCGTATACATATATGTGTGTGCGTTTTTTTCTTAATTAAATTTTCTCTTATTAAACAAAGACAAAAACTAAAGGTCCTCATTCATTTTATAAATGCGCGCTTGCACGAGCTTTTGCATATATTTTATACTATATTTAAGTATAAAGAAACGTAGATAAAAACTTTTGCAAATAAAATTTTTTAACATGCGCTCAGTTAATTGCTTATGCAGCAAAACCAATTATTCATTGATTCCTTAATTCATCTCATTAATTCATTCACTTAAAATTTTTTATTTTTAAACTAAATTCTTCATATATTTATTTAAAGCGTCGAAAAGGAGTAATGAAGTAAAATGATTTGACACAAAAATAATTTAGTCACAAATAAAAACTTAAAAAATTTTATATGTGCTGGCATTAAATATAAAAGAAAAATGTACATGCATAAATACATATATATGTATATATATAACATAACGGATAGAGCTGTGCAATGTAAAGCATAAATACATGCAGGTCAAGAGGAAGCTTCACTCTTTTTATGTATGTGATGCACATATATACGTGCTTTATATTATAAAAAGATGGTATAAAGCATGGTGTAACGCATGTAATGTGATATAGTAAAAATAAATATAGCCATGACACATTTTATAACTTTTTTCTTTTTAGGATTTTTTAAAGCTTTATTATAAATTTTTTTAAAACACGCAAAACACATGTAACTGTTAAGCGTGTTTAAACGTGTGAAATAACTAGAATCACATAGTTGCAAAAACAGCCATTGAATTTTTTTTTGAATTGTTTTAAAAGTTCACTCCTGAGTGTAGGGACGCGTAGTAATGCATAATGAAAAAAGGATTTATTATAATTTTTTTTTTTTTTTTTTAAATTCATATTTAACACATTTAAAAATATTATATTAATAATGCACAAATTACTACAGTAGCTCTGACCTTTTTCACTTCACCCCCTCATTGAATATTTTTTTTTCAAATTGTGCTGATTTTTTTTTTTTTATTTCTCTCATGTTTTGGGGCCCAGCATAACACATGCATAAAAAAATGAATAAGCAAATAAAAAAATAAATATTATATATATATATATACATAAATAATGCTATGTATAAGGTACCGTAAAGCAAAGGTATTAATACAACTGTGCACACAAAAATTATTGGTTCGCACAGCCTATTTAAGAATCACAAAATTACTATTAGGTGAAATCGTAATTGTACGTTTGTTGTATGTGTAAAGAGGCGCGTATAAAAATAGGTGAATTGTACGAATCTGAACGTAAAAGGAATAATTATAAATCAATAAAATAAAGGTGGAGTTATTATGAAGCCGTAGTACTGCCAACGAATAGGCTCACATATACATATTTGTGCATTTATATGTTTATCAATTTATACATGATCGCATTTGCTTTTAGTTTTAACATTTCGCATTTTTTTGGTTTCTTAACTGTTTTTCTTTGAAAAATAGCAAATTATAATGATATGATGTAAAGTTTTTTTTTTTTATTTTTTTTTTTTGCTTTACAAAGGCCAATTAGATTTTTAAAGGTTCAAGCAATGTTAGGCTCGATACCTTTCGTGTGAAAAGCTTATAAAATATTTAACAATACCCTTGTGCTATTTTTTTATATATACATAATGTAGATATATAGGTAGGAATAGATGAAAAGCCCTCCTCTGTTAGCTAATATATGAATAATTCTTCCCCCATTTCAACTTATTGTATTTCATTTTTTTTTTTTTTTTTTTTTTTCTTTTTTTCAATTCTTACCTTTTGCTTGTTCAAATGTTTACACATACATGGATAACATGTGTACCAGTAAAAACTGAGTATTCGTAGAACACTACTCATATACGAGGTTGTAGTAAATCCCATTGTGTATTTAGGAGAATCCCTTATAAAGCACCTTTCCAGAGTCATTAAGCATTAATATAAAAAACTTTGGGTAAAATAACTACTTTTGTCTAAAATATTGAATAGGACTAATTACCATTCTGCCATTTATAATGTTCTCCCAGGGGAAGGGGTTGATGGTGGTGGTACTTCATATGTCCCCGTAACAATAAAAAAAAAAGAAAGAATCGTAAATTATAAAAAAAACAATTGAAAAAATTACCCCAAATAATAAAATTGAACATATATTTTGCTTACAGCATTATTTGTGCAAACGTTCATACCTTAAAGCAAACAATTTTTATATTTTACGTGCTACAATTTTATGTTGGTGGAGGGGGAAAAATATTTTTTCACTTTATCAGATATGCATGTAATATATTATATGTTTTTCTTTTGTGCCTTATATTATTTTCCTTAAAAATGGCAAAAAGAAATTTTAAAAGGTACTACATATGTTATATAATGCCGTACATTATTGCATAAATAGACAAGTCCTTTTTTTCTTTTCTTTTCTTTTTTTTTCTTTTTTGAGTTGCCTTATTTTTTCCCCCTTTTTTAGTTCCACTTGAACAAATTTAGGTTTACATAACATTTTACAAGTTAAACCTCGTGGAACATTTTTTTTTATTTTTATATCCTATTTAAATCATATGCACATTGAGTGTATCAAATAGAATTGTATTTTTCCCCTCCTTCATGTTTCATACATTTTTGTTCACGTAAAAACGGATTGGGTGTCACTGCAAAAGCGCGATAGACGTTTTTTTTAAAAAAGAAGACATACTTTTTCTTTTCTCCTTGAATGACACATGGATATACAAAAAAGTACATACACTTCCCAGTTACATTGTCTATTCACGCATAGAGACATTTTAAAAAGTGGTGAATAATGATATTAAGGGTTTTTTTCACATACACGTATTCTTGTGTGATTACCACACTCAGGGAATAACTAACATTATTCCCACATACATATTCACAATTCTATTTAAAATATACTCTCGAAAATGAAGGGGCTTGAAATATGTTGTCATAGATGAAAAAAAAAAAAAAAAAAGCTTAGTTATGGGTCTTATTTATATTCTACATGCATATATATATATACACCTACATAACACATAATGTAAAATAAAAAGTAAAAGGTAAAACAAAAGCTGCTCCTCCATATATCTTTACATACTACATTTATCGTAAAAAATTTTACTGCATACCTTACCGGTTAATCATGCATAAACATATACATTTCAAATTACGCACGTTTTCCTTATCTTTTTTAAATAAGTGGGGTAAAGCAACACTAAGGAAAAACTTACAGGTTTTTTTTTTTTTTTTTTTTTTTTTTTTAATATATAAATAAACTAGCTGAAGAAATGTACTTAAGAAAAAAATATAGTCGAAAAAATCATTTACGTGAATATGCCAATTGAAAGATCAACAAAGGAATAGCAAAATCAAGCGTATGCAAAATATACCCATTTCATGAAAAATGCGTAGGCAAAAAAGTAAATTTTAAAATAAAATATACTATTTTTAAATTCGAAAGTGCGAAAAAAATTTGATAAAATGGAAACATCATCATAACTAGGTATTTCCTTTTAATGAAAGATATATAATGCTAAACAAGAATATGTCTTTTTCGCTTCATTTTTGTTTCATGTTTGTTTCATTTTCGTTTCACTTATAACTGTTTTTTTTCTCTCTGCTCATTCTATTTACATAGCACATTTTCATAAATTTCACGAACAAATCTTAAGCAAAAGAGCGATGTTTTAAAAATCACTTGTTGTTGCATTCTTACGTAAAAAAAAAAAAAAAAAAAAAAAAAAAAAAAAAACATTTTTCGAATATTTTTTTTTTTTTTTTTTAAAAAGAATCATCATCATTAGTAGTGTAAAAAAGGTAAAAATAAATTCCTCTGCAAAGTGTATACACGAGTACACA